GCACAGGAAATGTATCCCGTAACATTTTATTTTAATGGCTGTCTTTCAACATCTACAAAGTTGTATGATATGGCTGAAATATTTGTAAGTATAGCAAAGTGTGCTGTAGGGCTGTGTGTGAAATCTTTGTTAAGTGTTCATAGGGGACCTAATTTATTCATGAAACAGCTCCATGAAATGATAATAATTCATGTCTGTATAGCTCCATCATCTGAAAGGCTATGTAAGAGTTTGGCGAACTATTAATGGGAGAGCTTGTCTTTGTGTTTATGTGCACACAGATAAGCACACAGTGTATATGACAACACATTCATACATGTATGGACAGGTCGTGACCATCGGTACTTGTTACTAGATATTTCTACCTAGTCAGCTCAGGACCCCTGTTATGAAATGGTTTGCACGATATCCGTAATGGGAGATGACGTTCTGTTCTTATGATCTTACAATATATGATAGGAGAAGGGACTGCTGTTGCCCCATTACCCAGATAGACATCCGGAGCCCAGACAGATGGACATGCTGATGGCCACCCGCTGAACCCTCAGCCAAGGTGGGAGCAGATTTCTGACTCTCTGCTAGCTTTGCACTGCCAAAATCTGTAGCTCCCCACTTTTATCACAAATGTGGCGTCTTACTGCTTACAAACGACATACCTTTGGAGTCCATTTTACAGCTGATAGATTGTGGCTAATTACCCGCACACTATTCTCAGATAACATGTAGAAACTTTATATCTCTGAGCACTTTAATCTCAATTATGGCTTGAAATTGGCCGATGTATTCAAAAGTTTTAGAGGTAACTGACAGAAACACCCACACACATGCAGAATGCAACGACATAATCCTTTTTTCTTCAGAAAGCCAGCCTAACATCAACTGCTTCAACCGTAAAGACAAAAAACCAGATGTTGCTAAAATTAGATTTGCAGGAGACTATCTCAGACCAGGTTAATTATTTCACCCAACAGCTGAAATAAGTGTTCAGCAAAGTGCAGATTTGTTTTATTTATGTACTCTGGTCTGCAAGGTCTGGTTGATTTTACCAGCCTTTGGAAGTAAGAGTGTGTGAGAGTTCTTGCAAAACTTAGTTCCACCTAAGTATGGAAATGGAGATTATTGGTAGGTTGCTGAGTGACTGGCACAGCTTCTGGTTTCCACCCAGGAGCACTGACTCTTGCTTCCTTTGCAGGCACTGGTTAAAGAAACTGGACTAAAAATTGGGAGGCACTGATTTCTGGCTTCTGCCAATGACGTACTGTGTGACCTGGTAAAGACACTTAACCATGCTCTAAGGTGCACTTTCTCTCTGTAGAAGAGAGGTAGTCTTACTTCTCAATGCACAAAAAGCTTTGTGAGCCTCTGATGAGCAGCTAAATACTTTTCTTTATTACTTTTTCTTTTTATTTTATGGTACATAAAACCCAAGTTTTGCATCCCGTGCTAGAAAGATAACTAAGTCAAAAGAAAATGGAGAGTCTTGGCCTTTTCTGCTCAGGGCTTTTTACAGCAGGTGGTCTCTAAAAGGGTATATTTCACATTCCTGGTGGTCTCAGAATAGGCTGTAAAGTCAAATTTTTGCTCTCATTATAGAACTTTTTTGCCTAACATAGGACTTGGCCTGCATCCCACTACTCACTCAACACAGTGTGACTCTGCTGGGCGAATTTCAGTAGCAATCATCCAATTTAATGGTTATGGGCTGTGTTGCTAGACCTTAATATTGGATAATGCAGGGATTTTCACTGGCTGGGAGCAAACTAGTACAGAATTGGAAATCAATAAACAAAGGAGACTGTTGTTAATTGGCTTGAAAAAGAAGAGAGAGTGAAAATTCAGACCTCCACACAGCTAGACGTTTTGTTCACGAACTGCTCATACTGCTAGTCTCAGCCTAACTGGGAATTGATCGCTGGCCTGCACTGAAATACGGTAAAAATACATAGGGCAGTTCAAGCCTGCAAAGGGAAACTGAGGGTGTGTGCAAAGCACGCCCTTACAAAATGATGTGGGGATATTAGTCTCGAATTGCTTGGGCAGGGAACCTTTATAACAAGCCCGCCTGTGGCAACCTTTTCACAGCGCCGGTGTCACGTATGCTGCGCTGAGGCTGGGAGCACACCGAATTTCGCTGTTTGGCAGCATCACTCCACACGGTTTCAGGAGGATAAAATGACACAGTGCCCTAAATTCCTTGTACTGCTGCGACGAGAAGATAAATAGCCAAAGGGAGGGGACAGTAATGTTTCCTCTTGCCCAGACTTCATTACTGTTGTCAACTTAAACCGTACGCTCTGCGCGCACATGTCTCCCTCCTACCACGTGTGCGTACAGCCAGCACAATGTCGTCTTGTTCTCTGTAGCCCCTGGGTGCTACTAGAACAAAAATGTGATGACTGCTACTACTACACTAAGTAACAAAAGAACCCAAATTCTGTAACCGTAACCCTTTCCAAACTGAAAACAATCCTGTTTTGTCTGAAATTAAAACCTCATGGGAAAAATTTTTTGTTGCTCTCCCAACGGACTTCTATGGCTTTCTAAATGGACAACCACAGTCAGTCTCCTCAGGGCTGTAGGCATCACGTTTTTTGCGGTAATTCTGTGGTGCTGCCTACCCCCCAGACTGGCGAGTGGCATCTAATCAGTGGCAGACATCTGACTAGAAGATGACTGTTTGGTGCAGGATAAACCCATCCAGCGCATCTGAAACATACTTTTGCCTGCCTGCCTTCAGCACAACTGCGCAACACATTTGTCAGATACAATACTTTTATGGACCCGTTTGGCTAAGCCCTTCCACAGGAGGAAATCACTACCAGTGCTAGGAATGTAAGATGGAAGTCATGACCACCCACAAACGTCTGAGAGAAACCTTTCTGAGCCTTGTGCAGGTGTTTGTTGAAAGACTACTTTTTTACCCTGCAGAAGCAGGAGCGTGAACGCTTTGGTTGATCCCATGAAGCTAAGCATGACACTTTCTGTTGAGGTGAACAGAAGAAAGTCCTGACTTCATGATCTTGGATATAACCTCTGAGAAGAATTATCAGGTTTCATCTGTGCAACGGGAAAGTTCAGACATATGCGTTCACTTCTCAGGATGACACGACTATGAAAGGTATTCCACAGTCAATTATATATTCTCTTTTCAGAGCAAGTGCAGTATAGTCTTGACCGTGAATTCTGTACGGGTCTCTTAGATCTAAGCGCTGGAGAGCACAGTGCTGCAGTCTATCAATGTATGCACCAAACGCATTTCAGAAAATTAACTGCTTTTTTGGTTTACCTGTTAAGTTGACTGTGTACAGTTTTTGACCACTTAGTGCCACATAATTCTATAGACTGTTAAGCAGAAAGTGGAGCATTTTCTACCTATTGCAGGAGGTAGATTGCTCCACCGTTTATTACTATGGCAGCATGGAGACCTAACGTCTAATATAAGTAACACTTTGAGATGAATGTCATCTTTCTTTAGCACTGCTGTAAGCCATCCAAGAAAAAAGCCAATTTTACAACACATTTCTATGATTCAGCAGCCTGTTTGTGAAATCAAATTGCTGAATTAGTCTAAGAAAAAAAATGTATCTGAAAAGCATTAAAATGTTTTAAATAATGTTAATCAAGCCAAAAACAGTTTACAGAAGTTCAAAGATGATCTTAAGAATTATATTGAGACCAAAAATGCCAAATAAATTAATTTTAATAGCACTTTATCCAACACTTTCTGTGATGAAGATCTACTATAGATGCTGCAATACTAATACAACATCAAACTTCATAATAAACATTGTAATAAACATTAAGTGGCCACATGTCCTTTTCAGAACTCTTAGTTTTACAACATAACTTCAGCGTTATCCTCACAACTGCCTAGAGCTTAGAAATAGCTTCAACTCACTACCAAACAACTTTATTCCTGTTGTCACGCATTGTTTTGCTTTTGTCTGTTCCTGTCAGCCAGAGAGCAAAGCCCCTCAACACTCACAGTCAGCCGTGAAAACCGGCAGTTCATCTCTGCCTACCTGCTACGATTTAGCCTTTTGGCTCATCCATGCCTTACCTGGACCTGAAAACACACTTCCTGCCTCTGGACCTGAAAACACACTTCTCACACTGGCATTGCGCACGGCCAGACGCTGCCGGTTTGGGAGCGAGCTTCAGGTCCCCTGGAGAGCTGCGGGGAGTTGTTTTGCCCAAAGGCTGGGTTAATGGGTAGCTCACTGGAGTGGAAAATGGGTAGCTGGACTTCATTATCAGGTTTGTCACAGCTTTCTTGGTGACCTCAGTCAAACCACTTCTAAACCTTGTGCCTCTTGTTTCCCTATTTGAAAAACATGGATAAAAATGGGGACATCCTTGGTATATCACCCTGAAGTCTACTGATGAGAAGGCTTGGCAAGGGCTAGATATTATTATCATAATCCTCATCATCTCCTGTCGGTCCATTGCTTGTCTTTCCTCCCAGCTCCTTCCTGCACGGCAGGCTTCATTGGCATCAAAGGACATTATTCACACCAGCTTGGCTGCTTGTGCCTTGGTGCCATAGTCAGGCCACATATCCACCACGCCAGAGTGCCTGTCCTTCTCCCTTTCCCGTGGCTAGCACTCCCTGAGGCTGATGCTGACCCTGCGTGTAGCGCTGCCTCTCCCTCTGCCTTGAGTGACGGTGCGGCAGCTTCTGGGAAGCTGACACAGTCAGTCCCTGTCAACAGCTTGCTCAGGTGCATTAAATACAAAATCATGTCCCATTAAACAGCGATTTCTGGAGGTCATGGGAATCTTTTAAAGAAGCATTTTGACTATGGAGTTGCAGAATGACACTCTGATCAAACAGCTTATTCTGCCAGAGCTCAGCGCATGAAAGGTTGCCGTGGTGGAGTGGAGGCAGGGACCACTATGCCTTCAGAGCAATGCTTTAGTTCTCCAGTGGTGCTCTTAAGTTCATTACCAAGGAACAGAGTGCTGCAAAGCACCGCAAAATATCACAAGAATTGACTTACCACTGAGTCAAGAAACCTAATGCAGCACTCAAGCTCGGGTCGAGTTTCACAGAACTGCCGAAAGAGAAGCCTTCCGATCGGCTGCTTTTCGCATATACTGCAGTAATCTCTCTCTAGAGGCAATAAAGAGAAGAAGAGAAGCATGAAAATCTGAAGAGCTGCTCTCTGCCTTTAGGGTTGATTAGGAACTTAAAACATTGTGAGTGAGTGCAGAACTATGACCCTAATTAGAACTTCCTTCTCCTTCCTCCCCTCCCCTTCCATTTCAGATATCAAAGTACAAATATAATTAATGGCTTAAAGAATCAAAGATGACAGGCTGTTTTACAGAGATGACATAGGCAAAAGCCCCACAAAAGCCGTCCAGCTATTACGGAAAGATAATTTCAGATTTTTCCATGCTGGAATTACATATACTTTGCGAAGGTACCACTCCGACCGGCAGTGTTTGTGGGAATTTGAGGAGCAAACTACAAGGCCTTGAAACGTGAATCTATACATTAAAGAGTACAAAAAGTAGGAATTTGTGGTGACTTTACTGGTTCCTTCTCAGGTATGCACTGAAACGCACCTAATCTCTGGAAAAGCTAAAGCTACTCCCTACTAAATAATTATTGCAAAATACGCATATTTAAAGGTTTCAGAACTTCTTCTATTTACTTGTTGAGCATTAACCAATGCATAGGTCATATGGCATCCAGCTGGTGGGTTTCAGTTACACCATGCACCTTTGCAGCAGTTTATTTTTCCTTAAACGTGTTTTTTAAATGCTATTTCCCTGTGCTGGATCTGTCCTGAATCCAGAACCATCACTCTGTTAAACCAAAAGGTCCTTTACCCACTATAGGTATCATCTGCAGGAAAACATGGGGAAAAAGACAGCCATCTTTAATTGACATAGTACCAGCATAAATGAAGAGGGCTTTGAATACTATTTTGGCAGAAGCAGCAAATCCCACAGCCTGTTTGGAGCTGCAGTACTCGCTCAAGCACGTTATCCCTTTAGAAGCACACACATGTCAAACAACATACTGTGTTTCCTTAAGCGTTCTTCTCACCACCCTCCTCGCTGCCATATGGCAGTTACTGTTATTATGGAAACAACCAGCTTCTAAACACATAACACTGCAAACAGACATACTAAACCCACAAAAGTTGTCAGTGCCTTGGCTATTTCGCTCTCAGGCCTGGAGTAACTGGTGCAATGTCTTTTATTACCCCTTCGCTCTGTCCACTCCCTCCCTTCAGCTCCATCCACTCCAAGGAAAAAGCTGCAGGCACAAATCTGCGAACAAACTCGCGTTTGTCATCAGACACACAGCAGGAGGGTTCACTCATCACAGTTCACACCGTGAAGCCCATGCCCCTGCAAGACCAGGACATCCTACCACAGCAGAACAAGTATGAGATACCAAACTTGCTCACCTGCAGTTAGGCTGCTGTCAGGTTTTACATGGGAGTGCGATGGCCTGAGCACCCCCAAAGTTTCCCTCTTATAGAAGGAAGGACAATGCTTGCATAGTGCTTTACCTGCATGCAGATATGGCAGCACTTCAGGAATTGTCCTCTGAAGCAACTACCAAGTTCTCACTGGAGATGCAGATTGGAGTTAGCTGGACTGTGCATTTAATTCAGTGTGATCCTACTCAGGTCTGGTTTGCTAGAGCAATCTGGGACAACGTACCAGAACCACTGTGTGGCTAGTACTGCCAGTTCATTTTGGATTAGGATTTCATTCACTCTATCTAGAAGATTGCAATGTTTTGATACCCTCTAACAAATAAGACTGGATCTAAATCACTGTTTTAATCTTAATTTGACCTCTAGCCTATCTAACTATCAGCAACAAGCTTGTGACACTGGTTTGTTTGCATTAGTTGGAGCCTCTAGGTTGGAACATCATGACACAGACATGTACGGCGAGAAAGTCAGCAGGCTCAGTTTGACGCTGAGCAGCCTTGGGGTGTCCTTGCAAGTCTTACAAGTTTATGCTGCTTCACCAAGTGACTTTTTCAGCCAGAAAGGAATCACTCTTCTCATTCTAGTGGAGGAATATGCAAAAACACATAGTGCTAAGGTAAGCACAGGAGTCTGGTAAGTGCCCAAGTGGATCAAAACAGCAGCTTACAATGTCACAGAGACACGCGGAGCCAGAGGTTCTGCAGCTCAGGTGTGCTTTCCTGGCACGTCTGGACGAGGTGCTGCATCTATCTGATGCTGCTTTTCACTGTCTTGACTAAATAACTCTTCTAAGGATATTCATAAAATAGACACCTTGAATGTCTGTAGCACATAGCCTTCCTTATCTCAGAAATCAATCACTCTAGAAGCCCAAATCCACAGTAATCTTTCTCAATACTAAAAAAGGAGTGCAAAAAATGTGATTTCTTAGTCTGAATTACAGATATGTGATAAAACAAAATACAGACCAACAAATACATTTAAGCAGCTAATTTGTTCTATATTTTCTCTTGTTTAGTTTTATCTGATACAAAGTGTCAGTGCTTGTGGTACAAAATGCACAGTCATTTTTTCAAGATGTTATAATATGGCCATACTCACTGTAGCACAGAGGGTTCTTTTCTAACTAAAAAGCTAGTAGTATCAGCTAAAGTCAGCATGCAAATTGCATATTGAACTACTATATTTTATAACGTGCCAGATAAAGAAAACAAGAAGCTAAACACTATTACATATGTGGATAATCTAAACATAAAGATACAAGCACAGACTTTCTTTTACAGCATATAACTTGGCCAACACACAAGAATGGCGACCCATTTGTAATGAGGAAAAAGGAAATACCAGAAATAATCTCTGAAAACACAAGAGCCAGGCAGTTCCCTGGAGCCATCCACTCCTTGGTAATGTTCACTTAAGCGCTGGCTATACCAATACAGACAATAAATACATGATGTAACTGTTTTCATTCCTAGTAGGTGACACAAAATATTTTCTTAGGCCCTGATCTTGCAACTGACCTCACTAAGTCAGACGAAGGACTCTGCTCTTAGCTAAATTTTGGGATACATGGGCCCCGAAGCGGACGAAGAAATAAAAATACCTCTCTCAGCTCAAAAACGGAAAGAAGAGGTGGACAGCTTTATTATTATAAGGAAAGAGCCAAAGCAAAGGTGCTCTACAGTGCACCCAGAGACCCGGCCGGAGCACCCCGAGCCGTACTGCACGCTGCCGGCCGCGCAGGCAGAGGATGGCGAGCTAGGCAGGGAAGGCAATCAGGAGGCTCCCCGGGGCCGCGGTTAATTGCTGTGCCCTTCTCGGTCTGTCTGCCAGTTTTAAAAAAAAAAAAAAAATCCATCCAGTTTCAAAAGTTTAAAAAAGAGAAAGAACGATTTCCTGAGGAAATGGAAATGTTAAACACTTGGAAGTGAAACCACATGCTGATGACGCCGAGGTGTAACTAAAACAGTCCTGAGAGAGAGATCTGTGGCAGCCAGGCCCCCCGGCTCGGGCAGCGTCCTGTTCAACACCTGCAGATCACTCCAAAGGCAGGTGAAAAGCTGGGTGGGTGGCAGCCCAAGAAGAGCAGGCCGTTCTCGCTGCCGCCGCGCTCCTTGTTTAGCAAATATAACCGGCCAATTGTGCGGGCATGCAAACGAATTATTTATCTTCCCAGCTGAGCGACTACACAGATTACTACAGATGAGAATGTCTGTTAAAAGGCAGTAGGTAAAATGCGATAACAAATACCCTGAAGATAAACGACATTTACTCTGAATTCTCCTGACTCCTTTTTCTCTTTACCCCTCAGCGTCTATATTAAAGGAGCACTTCCGGCAGGAGCGCCGCGCACACAGAACACACCAACGTCATTCCACTACAGTAGTGACGCCTCTATACAGATAACGCCGTCACCATTCAGACTCTCAGCGCCGAAAACATCACCTCAAAAATTTTAGAGAGAAACAACAGTCTGCAGAGGAACCAGGTCTCTCCTCTTCCACGTTTGCAATACACCATCGGGATTTTGCTGGGTTTAGTGGTGAAGTAGAAAAGTAGGTGATGACATCTGGCTGAAAAGCAGTCTTCTCTGATGTGTTCTCGTTCAGGGTAAAATGCAGGTGTCTAAGCGAGATATGTTCCCTCAGACTGCTACGGAAAGTTGTACTTCTGTTTCTGGACAGAAGCCTGCTGTTTGAAGGGCTACTAATGCAACACCTGTTATCAGCTAGAGAGGCTTCCTCCTGTAAAATGTCTGTGCAGAGGGATGAGTTTAGTTTAAATCTTCTTGCTTTTCAAGTGTACAAAACCCAGGAACATCCTTTTGGTTTTTTGGTCATTACTGGTGTGGCCAATGATTGTACTTACATATTATCTATTAAGTGGCATTTTATTTTCCTCTTTAAAATAATGTAATCCTAAGAGAATATACTTCAAAGAAATACATGCAGAATCACCAGAGAGACATGCACCATGCTGTAACACATTAAAATTTGGATTTGATCTTCGGATCTCTGCTCTCCTTGGCAATAAAACAGCCCAGATTAAAACTAAGATCCAAATGCAATGTAATTCCACTGCCTAAAAAAAACCCCAAATGCCTAGAAACGCAAAAATGCATGTGAGGAGAATTAATTATTCATTTTCCTGTTTGTGCTCAATTCTCAAAAGGACCCAAGATGAGAAAACATCTTCCTTTTCCATTTTGTTTTTCTTTAAGACAAATCAAAGTGATAATCTTTCAAGTAGATGTTGCTCCACGTCTAGTATTAGTCTGCTGCTCTATTTCTCTGGCCTCCTTCAATTCAAAATAACAAAAAGCATACCAAAATCATGGAAGAAAACACTGAAATTTAAGGGACCCCTTTAGTCCTTACTCTTAAGTCAGATACGAGGAAGCAGTATCAAAACTAGAACTGGCTATCAGTCAGTTCGTAGCACTGTTATCACAGCTAAAGTAAGATTTTTTTTTTTTTTCCTAAGGTGCTTAGGCCCATCAAAATGATTCCACCAGCCCTGGCATGGAGATATTTCAAAATCAGAACAGCTTAATTGACTTCTCCCTCCTCATTCAAATTTTTGGTGGGTTCTGCCAGAACAGATCCTAACCAGCCCAACCCATATCTAAAGCCACTTCTGCTTTTTTTGCACG